CTCTCTCCGGTGCACTTTCTTGACCCTTCCTCTTCCACGTTTGTGTCTCTCCCCCACCTCTATCTCTCTCTTCGGGGCACTTTCTTGACCTTTCCTCTCTCACGTCTCTTTCTCTCCCGCGCCTCTGCCTCTCTCTCTCTCTCTCTTCGGTGCACATTCGCCGCCACGATGCCTTACCAGGGAGATCGCCAGGAGAAGCAGCCCGGCCAGTTCACGACAGACGTCAAGTACATCAAGAAGCTACCTGGGGCTCTCATCGTCGTCCAGCTGGTAAGTCTTTGCTGAAGTAGTTTAAGGTAGATATGGTAATGGATGGATGGATGGATGGGTAGATGGGTGGATGGATGGGTGGGTGGATGATGGGTGGGTGGATGGATGATGATGGATGGATAGATAGATGGATGGATAGATAGAGGTAGAGAGATGGATAGGTAGATGGTTAGATAGTAGGTAGGTAGGTAGATAGGTAGATATATATATATATAGATAGGTAGATAATATTAGAGAGAGCAAAAAAAATATTCTTAGATTTTTATCATAGAGAGGAATGGTAATGCTAAATCATAATGCTTATCAATTGTATTTTTTTCTTCAGTAATGGCTATGATCGAATAATTACATTTATTATATATTTTGTCTATCCCTCCTTTTTCCCTCACTTCTTTCCCCCCTCCTCTTCCTTTACTCCCTCCTTCCCCCATCTCCCCCTCCCTCCTCATCCCTCCTCCTTCCCCCTCCCTCATCCCTCCCTCCCACCCTACTTCTCTCCCTCCTCCCCCACCCCATCCTCTTACCCCCCCCCATCTTGCCCCCACCCCTCCACACCCCCACAGATCTGCTGCTCCCTCGGCTTCATCCTCGCCGTCTGTTCCTCGGTCATGTGGAAGGTCAGGGCAGGTCACGGCTTCTTCACCTTCGTTTCCTTCATCGCCTCCGTCAGCTGCATCAACTGGCTGGTCATCCACGTGTTCCAGATCTACCTCCTCTTCAACAGGAATTTCAACTGGAATATTTTGGTGAGTGGGTTTTTTTGTGTGTGTTTTATGTTGTTGTTTGTGGGGGATGCTTGTGTTGTACACAGAGATACGTGTGTGTGAGTGTGTGTTTATGTGTATGTATGTGAAGTGTGTGGTGTGTGTGTGTGTGTGTGTGTGGTGTGTGTGTGTGTGTGTGTGTGTGTGTGTGTGTGTTGTGTGTTGTGTGTGTTTGTATGTGTAGGTGAGTGAGTGAGTGTGTATGTGTGTTTGTTAGTATATATGTGTATGTGTTTACATGTAGGTCTATATGCGTGTCTGTGCATATATATATGCGTATCAGATGAGTAAAAAACTAACTCTATGGAGCAGGGTGACCGCAGTGGACTATGACACATGAAATATTAATCTAATGAGTTGCTTTGGGGAGGAAGCAAGAGAGGGAGAGACGAGGGGAGAAGGACGAGGAGGAAAATGAAGGGAGAGGGAAGAGGGGAGAATAGGGGAGGAAGGAGGGGAGAGAGGCAAGGGGGAAATGGACGAAGAGAGAGAGGCAAGGGAAGAGGGGTAAGGGAATAAGGAGGGGAGAGAGAAGAGACGAGAAATGAGACAAGGAGAACGAAGGGAGAAGGGGAAATGCTGAAGGAGAGAATGAAGAAAGGGAGAAAAGAATGAAGGGAAAGAATGAAAGGGGAAAGAACAAAAGAAGAATGGAAAAAAGAGGTAAGAATGAGGAAAAATCAAGACAGAAATGAATAGGAAAACAAAGAAAGAAAGCAAGAAAGAAAGAAGTATGAAAAATAGATAAGAAAAGAAAAGGAAGAAACAAGAGAGAAAAAAGAAAAAAAAGAAAATATATAAGAAAGAGAAAAAAAGCGAAAAAAATCAGAGAAAATATAAAAGAAATTGAGATACAGAAAAAAGAAAGAGAAAGGAAGAGAAAAAAAAGAAAGAAAGGAAGAGAAAAACGATGAAATAAAGAGAAAAACAAAGAAAGCAGGGGCGCCAAAGGGTGGAGGGAAGGAGAGGGGAGGAGACGGACGAAGATGGGGGGGGTGGGGGTGGTATGAGAGGGGGGGGGAGTGACCCTGCACCTGGCGTTTAAGAGCAATGTTATTAAATCTATTTTTTACGATAGAGGATTCCGCTAATATTTGGATGATTAAAAATGTGGCGTGTGGGAAGGAGGGGAGGGAGTAGGAGTGGGAGGAGAGGAGGGGGAGGGGGGAAGGAGGGAGGAAGGGAGTGGAGGGATGGGCGTGGGAGGGCAAGGGAGGAGAGGGGAAGGAGGGGGAGGGAAGGGAGAGTAGTAGGGGAGAAAGAGTGGGGGGGGGCGCAGGTGGGTGCAAGTAAACTGAAAGGCGCGCGCGTACACACACACACACACACACACACACACACACACACACACACACACACACACACACACACCACACACACACACACACACACACACACACACACACACACACACTGCACCGAGCCAGAGCCGTGACGTCATCTTGCAATAAAATGAGTCAGTTGGT